TGCTGTTGGTGGTGGGCCACCTGCTCTTTGAGTGGATGTCAGCAGGTGCCCAAGGCGTTGCCAGATTGTGACAGAGCTGGTGAGGCTGCCAGGCGCAGGAGCATGGTGCTGCCAGTTGCTGCACAATAAATTACCGCTGGTTCAGCGGCTCAGAGCAACAGACTTCTATCCTCTGGGCTTCTGGACGGCAGGGATTTGGGGATAGCTTGCTGGGGGAGGCTTGGGCTCAGAGTACCCATGAGCTTGAGCTCAAAACGCTGGCTGGGCTGCATCATCCAAGCCCAGCTGGGTGGGAGCAACTTCCAAGATGGCACACAACTGGTCACACGCAGAGCTCCCCTCTGGCTGGACTGGGAAAAGTCTTGTTCCTGACAGTGGAGGCAGATGGGTACTCACATGTCCTCGCGGTGGCAGCTGGCCTCCATCAGGCGAGTTACCCAAGGGACACTGCAGCCTTTTGTGCAGTCTCAAGGCTCACACGCTGTCCCTGCCACCCCTCCTGCTGGGGAGAAGAAGGTCACGCATAGCTAAAGGGACATGGTGCTCACCTCTGGCTGAAGGGGCATGCTAAATGGGGCAATGACAGCCACATCTTTTTGTGTGTAGGGTACTGGGGTTGAACCCAGGGCCTTTACACTGAGCTACACTTCACCCCCTTTGAAACAGTCTCACTAAGTTGCCCAGCCTGGGCTCAAACTTGTCACCCTCTTGCCTCAGCCTCTCACAGTGCTGGGATTATAGGCTGTGCTCCACCTCTCGAAGAGAAGAGCCCCAAGAAACTATGGACATTCTGAAAACCACTGTGGTTGTCTTACAGTGCTTACCAGTGTCCCAGTTGGAAACTGTGACCGGGATGAGGAGTGCTTGCACAGAGCATCGAGGTGCTTGGCACCCTGGAACAGAGCTCCCAGAGGATGCAGACACTTCTGTCGAAAATCAAGATGAAAATCTCCAAACAAGAGAGCTGTACATGCTCATGGGCGACTGGCTCACCGTTAAAAGATTCTAGTTCTCCCTGAATTCCTCTGAAAATTAAATACAATTTAAGGAAGACTTTTGAAAAATACAACAGGATGATCCTACATCATCACAATGCACCGCAGAGCCATAGGAAGGAGAGCGGTGTGGCGGAGACACTGGGACTGGAACTTCGTGTAGGTACCCAAGTGAATGCCCGTATCCATGGCAACTTGATAGATGCCAGAGGTGGCATGGTGAGCATTTGGCAGGGGAGATGTTTTACAAATGCATGCTATTTTTATTTTATTATTATTATTTTTTTGTCCTTTTTAGACAAGGTCTCACTATGCAGTTCCGGCTGGCCTTGAGCTCACTTTGTAGCCCAGATTGGTCTCGAACTTGCAATGATCCTCCTGCCTCAGCCTCTCGAGTGCTGGGATTACAGGCGTGTGCCACCACCGCCAGCTATTTTTAAAAGCAACAGTTTCTTGGGATATGACCACAAAAGCGCAGGCAACAAAATTGATTCAGCAGAGGAGAGGAAACCATCAACAGGCCGCAGAAGCAGCTGGTAGAGGGGAACATGAACAAGCCACACACCTGACAACGGGCTACTGCCCCAAATCTACAAAGAACCGAAACAACACCATCGCAAGGAAACAAGTGAACTGATTTAAAATAGCAAAGGACCTGAGAAAACACTGGGCACCAGGGGATGAAGAGATACTCAGCACTGTGTCCCCAGGAAATGCAGGCAGAAACAGCAGCCCTCGCCAGAATGGCTGCACAGAGAACGAAAGACAACGGGCGAGGATGCGGGGAAGGAGCCCTTGCACGCGGTGGGGGGATGGAGTTTGGGGTTCCCCAAAACTCAAAACAGAACTACTGTATGCCCCAGGAATCCCATCTCTGGGTGTAAACTCAAAGTGGACCCTGTGTTGAAAAGACTTCACCGCCTACTTTTAGGACAGTGCTGATTACAATGGCCAAGATACGAAGCCAGCAAGTCCCTCAGTGGATGAAGGGATCAAGAAAACATGATGGAATATCTCACAGCCTTAAAAAAGAAGGAGATGCTGCCATTTGTGACACCGTGGATAACCTGGAGGACACTGTTATGTGAAGAAGCCAGATGCAGAAAGACAAATACACATGATCTCGTGTACGGGTAAAATGTGAAAGCCAGCACTTCAGGAGGACAGAGTAGGGAGGTCGTCACCAGGGCCGGGGCTGGGTCAGGGGACAGTGTCGGCCAAGGAAACAAAACTACATTGAGATGGGAGGAAGGAGGCAAGAGGTGCGCTCTGGGACATGGTGCCCGCAGTTAATACAGAAATTCGGGAGCAGCCGCCTGGGCAGGTGAGAGCCTGAGTGTTGTGCGGTTTGAGCCATTCGACAGCCTGTACGTATTTAAATTTCCTGTTGAATATAATGAATGTAAAGCATATTTATTTGGTCAGTTAAAATTATTTAAAAGTAAAATAATAGGTCTGTAGATAACTGACGCTTGTCCCTCTGAGGGGTGGCCGTGTCTCCCCTTGGGCGCTTGCTGCCACAGCAGGGCGGTGCTGCACACCGCAGGAGGCCACATGCCGGCCACCGCTCTGGGGAGCCGGGCACCGAGTGAGGATCTGCCTGCCCCAGGTCCACCTGAGGGAGGCCACGCAGACGCCAGCGCCTGGGTGGCAGCCAGCACCAGCCGCCAGCTGTGGGGCTGACTGGCCTGGATGTTCACGGGGCAACGCTGGCCTTGTCTGACGTCTGGCTGAAACCACATGCAGCCTTCTGTCCTCCGAGAACAGCCTGGATGAGGGCCCTACCTCCCAGACTCCAGATGCTCGAAAGTGGGTGTGAGTTAAAATGTTTGTTTGAGACTGCTGGGTGTTGGGACAATTAGTTTTGCAGCCACAGAAAGTGGAACGAATAATATAGGAAGATCAGCTGGTTTATGGGAAATGGAAGATGAGATCCCTGCCTCATACCAGATGCAAAAGGAAGTCCAAGTGCTAGGACCAAAAACCCGAACATAACACAAAACTAGGCTCAGAGGACAGAGTGCTGGAGAATCTCATCATGACCTTGGGGAGGAAAGGATGTCTTATACAAGACACTAAAAAGAACAAACTGCAAGCTGGAGAGTGGATAGATCTGATGGTAGGAAAATAAAGGATTCAACAGGCCATGTGAATAAACGGGCCAGAGCAGCAGATAGTATTGGCAACACCTGAACTTCACAGCGATGGATAAAATATGCAGGGGGCAGCCACCAATCATGTTGAAAAAGACAAGGCCTGTAAAAGAAAAATAGGCACAGGTCCTGGACCGAGGACTGAAGGAGAAACTGTCACAGCAACAGGCAGGGGAACATCTGCCTGGCGTCTGTGGGGACTGGAGGACACAGGTGACCCCCGGAGGTGTGCGTGGTCACCAGAAAAGCAGCACCAGATGGCTGCCGGTTCCTAGGACTGGCAGGATGGGGTCAAGGGCAGCACTTGGCAGGTGCCGCTCAGCAGTCAGCAGAGGTCACCACGGTTGGCACCCGCTGTGTGCGGCGGCCTCAGCCAGGTTCCCATTTCCACTCTCCGTTTCATGCTTGCATTGGCAGCAAGTGCAGCACCCGAGGCCGTTCTCCCTCCCCAAGGGGCTACAGCATTCGGGGGTTGAGTGTGGCACCTGTGCTGAGCGCACCGGGCAGGGTTACTGTTCTTTGTGGAGACCAGGTTCGGAAAGCAAGGGAAGCAGGCAGGTATGCGGCTCTGGCGGCCTTGGCCTTGCTGATGTCTGCGGAAGCGCCCTTCCCTGGCCTCTGCCCTCACCTGGGATTGTGAGATACTGCACCCCCTTGGTGGCTCCTGGGGGACCCCGCCTGTGCTTTTCCAGGGTGTCTGTGGTCAGTGGCCCTCCTTCGCCTCGTGTGTCCTCATAGATCTGCTCCCATGGGTACAGTGGCCAGCATGCAGCCTGGCTCCCGCTGTGGGGTCCTGCAGTGTCCAGCTCTATCTCTGTCACAGCCTCCCCTGCCATCTGCCTGGCCTTCCGAGGGTCCTGCGGAGTGGTCAGAGCTGAGGGTGGCCTGCAGGATGCTGCTCTGGAGGCTTGGGGACGTGTCCTGTCCAACAAAGGCTGTGGTGGAGCTGGGTGGCAGGGCGGAGCTCGCGGAAGCCTGTAGGCACCCATGTAGGCACCCCCGGCAGGCCTTTCCCTCACCAGTCCAGCATTGGGCGCAGCTGTGTGGGAGGGCACTGTCCTGGGCAGCAAGGTCAACTGGGAGGTCATGGCTGGGCTGTGGTGGGGTGTCTCAAAGGTGCCTCCCACTGGCTGCTGCCTGTGCTGGCCGCAGAAGTGAGCCAGGCTACACCTCAGGGATGGCCCTGGCTCTGCAAATTTCTGCTCCCCAGCTGTGCAGGAAGCAGCACTCTCACCTAGCTGATCCAGAATGCAGGAGCTAAAGAGCAGCATCTCCCTCTGCCGAGGTCTGCCATCTGTCCCCGGCCTGCGTCTGTCCCTGTCCCGTGTCTGTCTGCATCCCTCTCTGTCCCTGCCCTTTGCCTGATCTCGCTGAAGGAGGTTGAGCTGTTTCCCCTGAGCTGCTTTCTAGACCTCTGCAAGCTCCCATTGTGCACATGTGCCCTTCCCATGTAACCCTGACAATGCACATCTCCACAGGAAGGAAAATTCAGGCAACAGATTTTATTTATTTGTTTATTTATTCATTTATTTTTGTCTTTTTAAAACAAGATCTTGCTATGCAGTTCAGGCTAGCCTTGAACTCATTTTGTAGCCCAGGCTGGCCTCAAACTCACAGTGATCCTCCTGAGTGCTTGGATTATAGGCGTGAGCTCCCATGCCTGGACTTCAAACTTTTTTTTGGTACTGGGAATCGAACTCAGTACCTCATGCTTGCCAGGCAGGCCCCGTGCCGCTGAGCTATATCCCTGGCCAGACAACAAACTTAAGAAAAAATAACTAATTTGGGAAGATGTTCGGGGAAAATTAAAAGTCCAGGTTGATTTTGCTTTGCTCTGCTTCTCTTCTCTCAGGTAGCAGCAACGCTGCTGAACTCCCCTTGGCCAAGACTGGCTTGGCTAAGGCCCCTGGTGTGGAAGGCCCCAGGGGGCTCTGTCTGCCGCCGGGGTGTCCCTCTAGCCTGTCCACCTGCGGCCTTTGGCGTCCAGCCTGAGAAACTGCTGAGCTGCTCCTGCTGCCCTGCAGACCTTTTCTGGCCACATCAGAGCCTGCGCTCCCAGACGCTTCTGGCTCAACGTGGTTTCTCTCTGCCCACGGGGACCCATGTGGGCTGCCGTGGGGCCGGGTCCCTGGAGCCGGGAGAGACAGCTCCCGAGCGCGTGGCGACCCCCCGCCTCCCCCAGGGGACCTGCCAGGGCGGCTTCCGCTCCTCGGCCGCAGGGAGCCCCCCGCTCACACTCCATCATCGAGGGATGACAGCGGGAACGGTGGGAGTTCATTACAGGGACCATGAATTGTTGGAGGTAATTTAGATTACAATTTAAAGTTTAATTTAAAAATCTATCAACAAATGTGAAAGTACTCGGGGAACATTTTAAAATGCACTTTAATCTCACCAGCACAAATAGCTTTTCGGGGCTCTAAACATCATCACCTGGAAAAACAGTAAAACTTTACTGCATCTTTAATTAAATTACAAACACAAAGGATAATTAACTTTTTTATTTTTATTTTATTCCTGCCATTGTTTCTCCTCGGAGTCAATATCTTCCAGCTGCAGGAGCGGCTGTTACGGGGAGGTTTACAGCTGTGCCCAGGATGACAGTGGCGCTGCCGGGATGGATGTTCCTGTGCTGGGGGTTGGGGACCGACGACCCGCTGCGACGCTCCCCCAGCCGGGGCCCAGCCCCCAACCCGGTCCACTGCCCCCGGACACCAGGTGAGCCCGGGGCAGCGGGAGGCGGCTGGGAATGTGTGACACAGCCCCTTGGGCTGCACAGAGTCTCCCTGGTGGTGTTCCGGGGTCCTGTGGTAAGAACTCTCCCTGCAACCCGGGAGGAGTGGGGGGACCACTGAGGTGCAGAAAGTGGGGCCCCAGCAGGCCCTGCAGCGGGGTGCAGTGTGTAACGTGCCCCACAGCGGGCAGACGACAACAGGCAGGCGAGCTGAGGGGGCCTGGGCTCCTGGGGGGACTTGCTGATCTGGGGGCCTGGGCCGCCTGGGGACCTCAGGGGCAGGTGTGGAGCCGGCCCCAGACGGCCACCGGGGGGGTCCTGAAGATGCAGTGGGTGGTGCTGGGGCAGCCTTGGGGAGCAAGGAGGTCACCACCTCCCCCTGGGGAAGGCAGTCACCAGGCCGGCAGGTCTGTCACAGGCCTCCACCCCCACAAGGTGGTCCCCAGCGCTACCCAGCTGTGTTCACCTCACATATGCCCACACGAAGGGCACGTGTCCATGCAGGTGCACTCACGTGTGGCCCGGTCCCCCCTCGCCTCTCTGAAGGTCCCTGGCCCTAAGGCAGAGGAGGGCGCTGGCCACGCGGGGGCTCAGTTTTGGTGTGATGGCTGCTTAATTATTGGTTAATCTAGCAATTTAGCATGCTTCATTTAATTCTAATTAGGAGAATTAATAGGCAGGGATAGCGATTTCAATAGACTAGCACCAAACAAAACCCACCAGGACACTGTGCCCCCTGGGGGAGCAGGGGGGCAGACCCTGGAGGTTCCTGAAGGTCACTGTGGGGCAGAGGCGCTGGACAATGGTCCCGGGGTCTGTGCTCAGGGCCTGGGGGCCAGGGGTGGCCGGGGTCCTGGGGCCCCTGCACCTCGAAGCCCCCCACCCGCGTCCCAGTGCCTCCAAGCCTCCGTGCGGTGCGGTGTTTGTCTCTGCTCATCAAGCCGGCTCGCTGACAAGGGCCTGACATTGGACAAGGCTGTTCCTCTAATTAAGGCGCTAATTGAATTAAATGGCTGCGGTAATGAGCAGATGAGCGGCATAAAAAGTAAAGAGTCAGATAGGCCAATTAACAAGAGCGGGAGCACAATTATAACACCGGGAAACACGCGGCCGGCTCCAGCTCTGTTAATTGTTACCGGGGGATTTATGGTAATTGGCCCCTCAACGGGCAGCAGCCAAACCTGCCCAGGGCTGGTAATTAAAAAATGATATTCTACACAAATGCCGGATGGGCTAATTAGGCCTTGATTTACATAAAGGCCTTCGAGGAGCCTGCCCACTTCACCTCGCCGCCTGCTGGGTGCCCAGACCAACAGCAGAGACTAGAGTGGCAGAGACCAGGCGTTGGGATGTCTAGGCCCCCATCAGCGGGCCAGGGCTCTGAGAATGTGGCGTGAGGTGGCCCTGCTCCAGCGCAAGCCCGAGAGCCCAGCCCAGCCCCTGCACGACGGCCAGTGTCACCTGCCCCTGCAGAGCCCTGCCACACTCATGGGGTAAGGACCCCCGGCCCACTAGCCCTGCTTTCCTGGGAGTCACAGCACCTCAGGGAACAGCCTCTCCCCCCGCTCCTCACTCTCTTTGCAGAGTGTCCCCGGGGAGTGGCCAACCGGACTGATCCGGGCCCCCATACCCCACTTGTACCCCAACCCTACAGGCCATCTTCTCCAGAGCCAGGGTGGGGTGAGCTGGAGGGACACAGAGCTCGACAGACCGACAGACGTGCAGAGGGTGTCCGAGCGGGGCCGGCTGGGTTCTGTCGTCCCGTGGTGCTACCCACCTCCCACCAGGGGACCACGGGTCCCCATTTAGAGATGAAGAAGTTGAGTCCCATCTCTGGAAGGCCAGGTTGCCTCCTCTCCCGGAGCTGCTCCCTGGTGCTGACAGTGCCTGGACCGCTCCCAAATGGGACCCCTGCCCCTTCCCTCTGTCCCCAGCTCCTGGCAAGGGCAGCGTCCCAGCCGCCCCTGTGGCTACCCCCGCCAGCCACCCGCCCGCCACCTCTGCCAACGACTTCTCGGGCAGATTTACCGTAACGTTCACACTCTGAGCAGAAAACTCTGCCTCATTTACAAATGTAATTTCAATTGAGGGTGGTTCTCCAATCTCCTTTCATTTGAGTCCCAATTGAGCCCCTTCTCAGTGCTGATGGCATGATTAGACAGCGGGCGCGCCGCGGCAGATTAGTCAAGCGCGGCCCCGTAAATTGGGAAGGATGTTTTATCAGGACACGTCGCCGCGCGCCGGCAGCTGTGGGGTGCTCCCGGCTGTCCCCTCAAATCACGGTTATGGAATAATTTAGCCCTCCGATTCTCCGCGATTACTGCTGCCACCGATCATGCTGTCACGTTCCAAGTGAGCACTTCATCCCGCGCTTATTCATGCCAGATCTGTTTTGCTTTCGTAATGAGCACATATTACCCCGGCACAAAGAGGAGGAAGACGGCCGTGTGATAGATAGGCGCGAGATTAAATGGGATCTTTATGACTCCCGCAGCCATCAGTTCTGACTGTGCGATAAGACGAGGAGACTTGGGTCCTGATTTGCTCTTTATTGGAACCAATATTAGCATGCGCTCACCGGTGCAGGGCTGATCAGACCCATTTAAGGTGGAATCGCGCGCTGCTCGGCCTCAGGCCATCCACCCCAGCCTCGCAGAGGGCTGGCAGCCTCCCCTTCTTTCTGGGGCTGCGGGGACGCTGCCCCCCTGCCCCCAGCAGCCTCGGGATTTCACACTCCTCAGACGCCTGGCCCAGGCCGGGGTGCCCACAGCCTTAGGTCCGATCCCAGGTGAGCTGAGAGGCTCAGGAGGACACTGAGGCCTGACACTACACGGTGCTCAGACTCATGGTCCTGCGTCTCGAGGGGTGCCTGTGTCCAGCCTGTGCTCCCCACCCATGCAGGGCCTGGGCAGAAGGGGTGCTCAGGGGTGCTGCTGTGGGGGCAACGTCCCTCTTTGGGGTGGAGGGGGCCCCTCTCCAGGAAGGGGGCGTCCATGCCCTCCAGCCTGTAGGGGCGCAGGATCAGCACCGGCCATTGTCCTGAGCCCTGTGCGCATGGATCTGCACTGCACAGCCCAGCCCCTGTGTCCTGACAGTGAAGGAGGCAGAGGCCGCTCGGGGCCTACATAGCCGGCAGGCTCGGGCAGCCCGTCCACGCTGGGTGTCGTTCAGGGCTCCAGCTCTCCGGCACCGGCTCTCTGTCAGCGCCCTGGGGCCTCTGCGCGCTGGCTACCCCCTTGGCCACCTCCCATCCCTGCCCATCCTGCTTGTCCTCCCTCAGGAGCTGTCTGCAGGAGTGGCAGAGGGACCAAGGCAGAGCCTGGCTAGGCTCCTGCAGGTGGTGCCCGTGGCCCAGGGGTCCAGGAGGACCAGGGCGGAGGATGCCGAGTTTCTAGGAGAACCCTTTGGCCAAGAAATATGCTAGACGGGGGCGGGGGGCATGATGCCCTACAGGGGGGCTGCTGAGTGACCGGCTGGCCAGAGCCCAGGGACAGCATGCCCAAGGGGCTTCTGGAGATACTGCTGAGGCCACAGGACTGTGCGCCCTGTGGCACCCCAGGGGTCCTGGGGGGAGGGACAAAGGGACCTGCAGGCCTCAAGAGGCTGCTACAAGACAGTGGCACCAGGCCCCAAGGCTGTCAGGGTCACAGACCGGAGGGGCCTCAGGGGGCAAGGGACGTGGTGGGAAAGCTCCCTCCAGTCTGGGTTTGGCTGAGGGGAAGGGGCAGAGCTGGGGCTGACGGCCCTGGTGGAAGCACAGCACGGGGAGCAGGACCAGGCCTCGGGCTCTGCCCACTGCCTTCGCATCTGTCCTGTAAATCTGAAGTTATTCCGGAGAAAACAGGTGCAGGAAAGTCCTCTGGCTCCAGAGTAGAGCCGCCCCTGGGGGGAGCAGCCAGAAGGAAGGAGGAGCCTGAGAGGAGGGAGGTGGGAGGGGCCACGGAGAGGGCGGGGCTGGAGTGGGGGGCTGGGGAGGGAGAGGCTGGGAGGCAGAAATTAGGGGACTGGAGGGAGAGGCAGCCCAGGGGAGCTGCAGTGACCCAGGTTGGCCTGGGCCCCGGGTGGCAGCAGGGCGGCTGTGACAGCGGACCCTCTGGGCTTGCGGAGGGCTGTGCGTGCGGGTGTGGGTCTGGCGTGTGCTGTGTGAGGCTGAGCCGTGGTCACTGCTGTTGGTGTGTGTTCACCTGTGGTTGTGTGTGAGTGTGTGCGGCCAACCCGCTGGTGCCCTGGTCAGACCTGCAGGGCTTGCAGTGGCTAGATGCCACCGGCCTCTCAGAGGGGACCCCGCGCTGCAGTCCACCCTGAGTGTCAGGCTGTGGGCCTGTGGGCAGGTCTGTCCCACCCAGCTGCCCCCCGGGGTGGAGGGGGCCTCGTGTTCCCTGCAGAGCCCTCCCCCTCCACACTCTCCCTTCTCCTTCCGGTTACGACTTCCCACATCACCCTTAATAGAAATCCATAAATGTCTACCTGCTCATCTAAAAGGAGATGCTGTTTATGAGCACCCCGAGAATGACATTTACAGGCCTGCTGAGATTACTGGATAGACAGAGGAACAGGAGCAGCCCTTCCCTGGGCCTCACAGAGAGCAGGGAGGGTTCTGTTTTCTTATGCTAATTCCAGGCCGGTCGCTGTTAGAGCAGGGACTTTCTCTTTCATCTTAAAGTCACTGCAGAGCCCTGGCTCCTCTGGGGAAGGAGACACCAGGACCCGTGACCCCTGCGCTGCGAGGGTGGGGCAGAGAGGGACTGCCTTGTGGGGGCCTCCAGTGGGGTCTTGGTCCTCCAGGCAGGCAGCCCCCACCGCCCCAGGCCCCCACTGCAGGGAGAGCTTCCAAAGGAAGCGAAACAGTGCCATTTCCGAGTCCATTTAGTCTGCATTTACTGAGCACCTACTGCGTACGCAGCTGCTGGGGAGCAGAACAGACTCTGGCGCCCTGGGCTTCCTCTGGGGAAGGCAGTGAGGGGCCAGGACAGGGTAGGGGCCACCAGAGCGGGGTTTGTCCCCCTCCATGCCTGGCCACTCTGAGGGAGGCTGTGGGGACGAAGAGCCAGCCGGTGTGGACGTCCAGGCAGAGACAGCTCCCAACCGCCCTGCCTGACCCGGACTCCAGGAGCAGACCCCCTGGCCCTGCAGGTGGAGAGGTCTGGGTTTGCCTCCCCAGGCCTGACCTTGAAGTCTTGTCCAAATGTCTGCAGAGGCCAGGAGGCCGGGGGTCCCAGGGCCTCTCTGCTGCCTCCCAGAGCCTGCATGACCCTCTACCAGGCTGTCCTACCCGACTGGGCCTGGCCACCAGCTGTGCTGAATTCACCCCGGCACAGTCTGTTCTTCTCTGGGGCCTGGATGGGGTTGGTGGGGGGCTGAGCTGTGCAGGGGCCGCTGAGGCAGACAGCAGGGCCCTGTGTGCGCAGGGGCAGGGGGTGCGGGCTCAGGAGAGCTTCTGGGCCAGGCCCGGGCAGTGGTGCTGCGTGGTTAGGCCGGGCCAGGCTCTGGGGTCCTGTCCCCCTGTCTCAGGACAGTGTGAGTGCTGACCTGGGCAGCGGGGTACGTGGTGACACCCCACATACCCATCAACGGTCTCAGCCTCCTGGACTTGTAGACTGTTTGCCGAGTGGCTGAGTGATATCCTGCCATGTCTGAGGGGAGCCCCTCTACTGCCCCCATGCTGCCACTGCATGTGGGATGGGTGGGGGGACCAAATATTCTGTCTGCAGTCCTCTTCCTCCTCTAAGGCACCCCCCCACCACAGATACCCAGAACCCAGAGGTCTGTGTGCCTGAGAACCCCTTCCCACACCTCCCAGGCCAACACCCTGCCTGGTCAGCTCAGGGCAAGGGCACTGTCGGGGGCTTCAGCGCAGGGGAGCAGCTGGCCTTGAGCAGAGTCCTGGGCTACAAGGGTCCCTCAGCCAGGCCGGGCAGAGGCCACAGTGGGCAGGGTGAAGCGACAGAGGCTCTGGTGCTGGTGACACAATGCACTCCTCCTGTGTTCCCTGCACGCAGTCCCAGCCTCGTGTCCTCCTTTCGCATGCACGTGCTGTGGGGAGCCTGCCCCCCATAGTAGTTAGCTAATCTGTGGCGAATCTCTGAGGCCTTTAGGTGACCCTTCTTTTGGGGCAGGGATGGCCCAGGAAAGGACCCCATGTGGCTAGTCCTTGCTCCTTGCAAGTCAGAAGGGCTGTCACCCAGCAGGCTAATTCCTGCCCCTTTGACATGGCCCCTGAGACCCAGGGGCTCCTGAACTGGACACTCTGAGGTCAGCTGTGGTCACCTAGGCTATGGAGTCCAGGGGCCCTTGGAGATGCCAGCAGGATCCTGCACACCTGGGAGGGCTGCCGTGATGCTGGGGACAGATGTGGATGGTGCAGCGCCCCAGGCTCACCCTGCCCCTGCCCTGCTGGTTTTCTTCCACTCTCGGTTTGTGGATGTCTTGGTGAGTAGGAGCCCCTGCCCTGCTCCAGTCCTGGAGTGTCTCCTGGGGAAGGTTACCCTGGTTGGTGGCCTTGGAGTTCTCTGGGCAGGTTCAGCGCAGGAGCAGATTCGAACTTTCATCTAATTCCTGTCTGAGCTGAGGAGAGGGTGGTGCGCGCTGCTGCAGGCAGCTGGGAAATTGAAGGCCCTGGGGGCTCTCTGTGAAGTGCGGTGCCCACTCTTCTCTTCTCCTCCATTTCCTCTCAAGCAGCTTCCCGGGAACTGGACGGCGGCTGCGTCCGACAGAGGGATGATGGATGGCCACTGCACTGCCCAGGAGAGCGCCCAGCAGCAGCCGTGGGTGGGGGCCAGCTCGGTGTGGGGTGGGATGCGGGGCGGAGGGTCCCGCGCCCCAAGCCACAGTGTGATCGGCCTTGGCTTCCTCATTCCGACAGTGGGGCCTGTGCCCAGGGGCCCTGAGCTCCTGGAAATGCAGCTTCCAAGGGAGAGCAGCCCCAGGTGCTGGGTCCTGCCACCAGGCGTCCTGCCACCGGGCCACTGCGGGGCGTGGAGCCGGCCCGGCCCGGTGAGACTTCCACCTTAAGGTGTGCGGAGCTCTCCACGCAGAGTCCTTGCTGCCCCCGCCACCCTGGTGACAAATACTAATGTCTAAATCAGCAGCCCGCCCGGCCGGCCGCCTGCTCATGTTCTTTGCTGAAATGTCACCTGTTCCTATCTAACGATTTGCATAATGCAAAGCTTCTCACTCGTAAAATACAGATTAAGAGGGGAAGCCAGAGTCATTCTGGAACCAGGGAGCCATTTCAGAGGGAGCGGGGGAGGCACCGCACTCTTAACCCCGTCCCTGCCGGGCTCCACTCCTCGTCCTGGGGCAGCACTGCCTGCAGGGCCACAGTGTGGGGTGACCCTGACGTCCTGCACGTGCCGCCAGCCCTGTTGTGTATGGAGATGTCTTTCCTGCCCTCCAGCTCTGCTGCTTTCCCCGGAGCCTGTGGTTTTGGGGGTGCATGTGCACCCTCATAGCAGGAGGAAGATGGGGTGCCATAGGCTCCCAGCTGCTGCCCTGACAGCTTCTCTGAGGTCTCTGTTGGAGTTCCCCCACCCGACCCTGGCCTCCTGTGGCTTCAGGCAGGGAGAGGCCCAAACCCACATAGTCTTCTCCACCCTCCCTCCAAATCTGAGTTGGTCATTGCTCTTTATAAAGCTGGACCCAAAGCTGGAGGGAAACTGAAGGGTGTTTGGTGGGTTCTGCTACTTAGGGGCAGGGGGGCCTGGGGCTCCTTGGCGGCAGCACCTGTCCAGCCTGATTTGGAGTGGGGGCAGGGACAGGCCCAGGTGAGGGCCAGAGTGGGATGCGAGGCTTGGGGGACTGTGTTCCACAAGGGCTCAGAGGGCGAGGCTCCCTCCCCAGGCAGCTGGAACCTGAAGCCCCAAAATCCTGGGGTGGCAAGCCCTTCCCCCTCAGCCTCAGACCCTCTCCCCCTCCATGAGCCGGCAGGCCCCTGTGGATGCGGAAGGCCCCTTCCTCCAGCAGAGGGTCCCTGCAGCAGGGCCGTGCTGGCTGAGCTGGGGGCAGGGGCCATGCGCTCCCGCCCGAAGGTGCTGGGCACCAGGGACAGGGCAGGAGAGGCGGGGTCAGCAGGACCCCAAGGACAAGGAAGCCCTGCCATTCAAAGGGGCGAGAGGGGCAGAAGCGTGGGGAAAGCTCGGTCCTGTTCTGGATCTGGGGCAGATGAGAACGGTGTGGGGGTGTCGGCCAGAGACCCCAGGCTGCGCTCCCTGCTAGGGAGGCTGTCCCCATGTCCCTGGGAGGGGCTGACAGCCCTGAGACCCGCAGGGGACCTGAGGCAGGAGCCCTCCCGGAGCCACACCCACCTGAGGCCGCCCAGGAGCCTGCCTGAGGCCCCCAGCCCGGCCAGTGGTGCCCTCTGTCAGAGCCCTGCGGAGCGACCCCTTCGCAGCCCCCGCACCCGCCGGGCCTCCCGATGCGCTGGGCTGTGGAGGCGCAGCCTCGGCCTCCTCCGTCAGCCGCGTGCTCCTTACTTGCGCGCTCGCGGCCGCGGTAGCAGCTGCTTAGTGGACCCCGTGGGCCTGAGGCAGGGCGCTGCGTTTCTGTCGCCGCTCGAACTCCCCCGCGGGGTTCTTTTCTCACCACCTCATTGTACAGAAAGGGAACTGAGAAGAGGAAGGGTCGCGGGAAGAAGGCGCTTAAGCACGATTCGGCAGCTGAGCCTCTGCAGCGCGCTGGGCCTCAGCCTGAGCTGCCAGCCAGCGGTCCCCTCCTTCCCTTGCTCAGCCAGCGGGCCAAGTGGGTCTTTCCCGAGGATCCCTCGCCCTGGGAAAATTCAGGCAGCACCTCTCCTGGGGGTCTAGCCCACAGCACTTGAACGTGAGGCTGCAGCCCAGCTTCACAGGTGCCTGCACCCCTCCCCTGCAGGTGCCCTTCCCTTGCAGGTGCTCCCCCTGAGGTTCCCCTTCCACAGGTGCCTGGATCCCTCCTCTGCAGGCGCGCCTCCCCCATAGCTGCCTGGACCCCCTCCCCTTCAGGAGAGCCTCGCCTTCTCCCTGCACTGGGATAAAGGGGAGCTGATTCTCTCCTGCACTGTTGTAGACACGGCCCTCGGGGCACATCTCCCGCTCTGCGCAGTGGTGACAGGTGAGGGCTGGCCAGCGTGGGGGTGACTCGACTGAGCACTCTGCAGGGAGCCCATGCCCTACCTCCCCCAGACCCTCTCCATCGTCCCTGTGGAGGACACCCCGGCACTGCGCGGGCTCATGGGCCCCCCGAGGATGACCTCAGCGGCCTCAGTGCACACCAAGGACAAAATCCCCAAAGAAAGGTCTGTGCTCACCCATAAATGTCTGGTCAGGGTCACAGCCAACCCAGCTGGAGGGCTTGGCTGGCAGCCAAGAGGGCGACAGTGCCTGCAAGGTCCGTCTGGGACCCGCACCACAACGAGGTCACTCTCTCCTCTTTTCCTGGGGCACTTCCCGGGTGGGTGTGTGCCTGCCTGGTGTCAGTCACAGCCACTTCCTGCCCAGTGAAAGGCCCTGTCCTCTGCATCCCCTTCCTGGATCATGACTCCTGGTACTGAGCTCCCTGAGCACTCTCAGGGTGTGTACATGTGTGTACATGTGTGTGTGTGTGTGTGTGTGTGTGTGTGTAGGGGAGGGATCAGGCAGCCAGGAGGTGGTTCTGGCCACAGGAGGGGGTGGAGTTGGGGCCTTCACCTGCAGGGAAGCTGAGGGCTGTGATAGGTCTCTGTCCTTCCTCCGCTGCATTGTCACCCCTCCCGGCACCCCACCAGCACAGGTGCCCGCCCTTCATCCCTAAGCCTGGCTTTGACACCCCCACCACAGAGTCAGCCCAGCTTCTACATGCTAAGTCCTGGGGTGGCTCAGGCCCCGCCATGCTACCAGCTCCTGTGTCCTGCAGACTCCTCAGTGAGCTCCTTTCCCAGGCCTCTCTCTGGTCCTCTCCTGCAGCTTCATCCTCTTACCCACAGGCTACCGTCTCTCTGCTTGAGGCTCAGTCCCTGCCATCCCCTGCTCAGGGACCCATGGCTCCACCCCAGGCCCCCCTGGCCACATCGACCCTGTGGCCATCACTGAGTCCTTGGCCACCCCCAGCCGTGCATTTCCACCAGCAGCCTTGCCGTGGTCCTGCTCCACAGCTGTGACATGACACTGGGGTCGTACCCAGCACAAGGTGGCCCTGGATCCTTGTGGGATAGATGACCTGCAGGAGCGGCCTTGCTCCCTGGTTGTGTCCTGGGCCCCCATCACAGCACACGCCATGTTCTGGGCCTGAGTGCCCCAGGGCTGAGGGCACCATGGCAGGTCCCTGTGTCCTGCGTGGGGGTGGGGCAGCCCTGAGGGCAGCCTGGAGGTGGCACCCAGGGAGGGCCAGGCCCTGGCCTCCGGCTGCTGATAAACCTGTGTTAATGGCTTTCTGCTAATGAGAAACACCAGGCTGATCATGATAAATAGCCAGGAGCAGCAGGCTAAGCGGTAAGTGGTGAGCGGGGGCCTGTCCACGAGGAGGGGCTGCCCCATCTCCCAGCATGGTCCTCGCAGTGCCCTGCCAGGGGCCTTGGAGGTGCGCTGGGGGCTGTGCTGTGCCGAGGGCACTGTGTGACTTCGGCCACTCACCCCCCTGCAGGGTAACCTGATGGTTTCAGGCTGCAGTCATTGGGGGACAGTCATCCTGAGGGTGGGACAAGGAGAGGGGAATCCAGGGCTGCTGGTGTCCCCAGGAGTCTGCTGAGGCCCAGGTAAAGCGGAGAGGACCAGGGTGAGGCAGGTGTCCCCACCTCCCTGTGGGGCACTGACCACATGGTCTTTAGAGGCTTGGGCAAGGAGTCACATTCCTGTTTGTTTCCCAAGCTTACCCTGAAGAGAGGGGCCTGTCTCCTCACCTGCCCAGCCCTGGAAGGCATCTGGGGCCCTGGTTGCCCATCATCCTGGTCCCTTTCAGAGTGACCAGTTGGCTTGGAGATGGGGTGGGTTCAGGGCCACCAGACCTCAGGGCAGTGGAAAGGGGCCTGGATGCTGGCCCTCGCTCCCAGGCCCTCTTCTCCTGTGAGACCCCCTCCTAGCTGGAGCAGGGCCGCCATCCTTTGGTCCTGCACTCCCACCAGAGTGTCCCACAACCTGGGGTGCCACTAGGCACAGTGGACACTGCCCTACCCATCCTTGCTCTGCTGCAGCTCATCCCTGGTTTCCCTGGGTGTCCATGCCATGCCACTGACTGTCACGCTGTGACCATGCTGCTGTGGCAGCTGAGACCCTGCCACCTGGGGTCAGGGCACCAGGGGGCAGCATCTAGAACCTCGTCCCTCCTGGTTCCCTCGCTCTCTGCCACTCACCTGTGGGGTCCCCCACCTGCTGCGGGTGCTTGTGCTGGCCCCAGGGTCCCATCCTGGCCAGGGCTGTGGGAGCCGTGAGGGGCGGCGTTGGTGGAGGGCTGAGGCCTAATGGGGCTTCCCATGCAGAGCGCAGCCTTATCTCGAGCAGCCGTGTTGCCCATTACCGCTAATTGCGCTGTGCGCCGCCCTCGTCCCGCGCCTGGCCTGGTGGGCCGTGCTCCCCACACTGTCCCCTCCTGGGGATGCCTGCGTGGCCAGTGGGAAGGGCCTGGGGTCTCCCTATCGTCCCGGAGCAGCAGCCAGACGTCGTGGGTGCCTCGTGATAGATGAAGCATGGAAATTAGTTCCAGAGTTTAACTGATAACCGGAGAGCCTGGCTACATTCGGTTATGGCAGCCCTAATTGATGAGCTCATTAAGTCCATTATTAGAGAAATTGATTTCAAATAGGCACTTAGAGCGTCGCCAGAGGCAGGTGGGGCGGGAGCACCGGAGGCAGAGGAAGTCGCGAAATACATAATGAGGCAAGTAATTTTATAGGTTTGTTTAATGAAAAGCTGGGACGATGCACTTGTGGCCATGCGGGTTTTAAACACTCATTTTATGTACTAATAAAACTCCCGGTGGGGGATCCAGTCCCCAGGCCCAGCCCACTGTCCTCCACAGCTGCCCTAATTAATTAATTAACCTGGGCGAGGCGATCGATGAGTTAGTCACGCAGAATCGACACTCTGGGCCGTGCGTCAGGAACGGAGGCCTGGGATGCCCGTCCTTGGCCATCTTGACCCGACCGGCCTGGCCCAGAGCCCCAGGTTCAGGGCTGATGCAGACACAGCCATGAAAGTGGCCAGGAGCCGCCACTGGGGGAGCTGGACCTGGGGGTGCTGTGGAGGGCAGGTAGGGCATGTCGCAGACGCCCCAACCTCAGCTCCAGCGGGGTCTTCCCATCCACACAACTCCAGCTGTCTAAGCAACCTTGACCTGACCTTGACCTGGCCACTGTGCAGGCCCGGCCTTGAGGGTACTCAGCCTCCCAGGGCTCAGACTGGGGCCCGACCGGTGCTGGACACAGTTGGTGAACACACTGTCGGTCACCTGGTTTGGTGAAGTCACACAGTGCGAGGTGGGAGATGCTGCCACAGAAACAGCAAGAAGCTCCAGGATAATTAAACTGGCGACGGAGCCACCCTGGGGCGGGGGAAGCAGCACCTTGCAGAGCTGGATGGTGGCCAGGCAGGAAGCTGCCCCTCCTCCCCCGTGGAAGGAAGACAGAAAGAGCGGCCCAGGCGGGGGCGCCCCTCAGTGCAAGTGGTTGCAGAAGTGGCCACGCTGGAGTTGGGGGAAAT